AAAAAAAAAGAAAAATACTTTTTAAAGGAGCTCATTTTCATTACTGAATTCAGAGAACACTCAAATTATCAAACAGAACCTTGGTAGCTTTGGATTTTGTTACTGACACTGTCTGTACGTACTTTATCAGTGGTTAACATTTCTCTACATGATTTCAGAGGCTGTGTGTCTGTGCTGGTTGCATTTTACCAAAAATCTCTGAATTTTCTGAGACCCTCAGTGCACGCATGCTCTGCTAATGTGCTGGGTGTGACAGCCTGAGGCTCAAACCTATTCTCCCAATTTTACTCTGATTATTATTTTTTAGAAGTGATAGCAACAGCATGACAGGAAGGAACTGTATTTTGATGGGAGAAAGGCCTGGGTTTGAATTCTGGCCCCTTTCCCACCATGGAGGATGAGCAAACCCCTCCAATGCCTGAGGTAAAACTTTGGTCAGCAAACCTTCTTTCAGCAAGACCCTCCTATGCTGGCCAAGCTTATGGTCTCCACCTCACCAGCCAAGAAGTAGAGCTCAGAGTCCAAGGGATACCCTAGGGTCCCAGTTAGTCCCTGGATGAAATGACACAAGAACTCAGATAATCTAATCTTTACCGCTTCCAGCAAAGTGAACCTAGAGTACACAGGATTAATTTCACGGTCTCATCCAAGGCTGGAGCTACCTGCCAAAGAATGGCAAAAAGACTTAAATCTATGTGGGCTGTAAATGTCAACCTGCAACTTAAACTTGACTATCTATGTTTAAACTGTGTCTCTACCATTGCCGACTTCATAAAGTACAGAGAAGCCAGCAGTTACTCCACCTGTATCTCTCTTTAGCTATTCAGGCTCTGTGCTGGTTGCCTGTTGTTATGCATCTCAACCTTCTATCCCAGAATGACCTGAGAACTCTATCTTGGAGTATGTTTTGTCAAAGAAAAGAAGAATAGTTTGGAAGAGGCAATATTGTAAACTGCAGTGTTTTCAACCCTTGAAATCTGTTGCCTGGGCTGTCTCTAAATTTTTCAAGGTTGGACAGGATACGAGATGGCAAAGTGGCCTCAGAGGAAGGCAGCATCCTGATGTGAATGTGTGTGTATTGTACCCATTTATGCATGAATTGCTTGCTTTCTCTCCTAACTCTTGCAACTCCATTTCTGACACTAGCAAGCCCAGAGTGAGCTGTCCTCATGATTCTCCTATTCTCTAATCCATAGCAGCTTTCTGCAGAGGAGCAGGAACCCAGGGAGTCATCAGCCAACTGCATACCTATCTGCAAAGTGCCAGCACCCAGGATATTCAGACACAGAATACTGGGACATGGAAAAGGCAGGGAAAGGGGGGCTCTTGGTTGTCTGTGGCTGTTGTGAATAACCACAAATGGGTTTGCTCAGGTAGTTTTTCTCTCCCTAGTTCTGGGAAGCCCCAAGCAGCAGGGCTCCAGTGAAAATTCTGTTGTTGCTTCTACTGGCCTGAGGCATCTGCTGGTATTCCGACTTGCATGGCCATGTGGCTTCCTCCTGTCCTCCGTGCATCTTCTACGAAGTCACTTGTCACTGATACTTGCCCACCTAGATGACCCAGATGATCTCAAGATCCTTATCTAGGGACTAAAATGGAGACACACTTTGGGGCCACTATTCAGCACACTGTACTTCACAAACTGTAGGAGTCAGGCTCATTCTTATGATACTCATTCTTGGCAGCTTACAACACTCTGCACAATACAGTACTTTCCAAGTGGATAAATGAATACCCAGGATTTGTGTCTTTGGGTCATGAGACACCCTAGATATATTCTGCTTAAAGGCAACTTGCAAGGAAAGGTTGGAGAGT